TTGTTTAATTAATTAATTAATGCATGCATTTATTTCTTTGCTTTTAAAAATGTATTTGATCATTTATAGACATTATTTATAATTAAAAATATTATTTATAAATATTATTTATGCATTTATTCACTTATATATTTAGCATTTATTTACTAGCTTGCTTAAAAAAAAACCTTGTGTACTGCATTAAGCTAACTGAAAGCTAAATGAAAACCAAGAAATGTGATGATTGTGATGAAATGTGGATGGATTTGAGGTTATGAGGTTCATATTCGGGGCTCCATCAGTGTGACTGACAGAGAATTTGAGTTAAATGAGCATGACTAATGTCTTCAAAACCACTGAGAGCATTCAGCTCAGGAGAAATGGACAGAAACCAGTGCAATCAAATGTTTGTGTCATTGATATACTATTGTAGTTTTTTGTTCATAATTTGAACTAGATTTAATTTGTGTATTTTCTGTTTTCATTTTAATTTCAGTTAAAAATTTAATACTTGTGTTTTGGTCTTTTTTCATTAGGTTTTTGTTGTTGTTGTAAATATCTATATATCTCTAAATAGTTGTATATGTTATTTTTTTCTATTTTATTTCAAGGAGTATTTTAAAATATTATATTAAATATTTAATATTTTAATTAACATTAATAACCATAATGAGAGGAGGGTACTTTTATTTTAATAATATTTATTCTCCTTTTTTTTTTTAGTATGTTTGGATAACCCACCCTAGTGGTTCACACTAACAATTACCCATTTTTCTCATTGATTTTAGAGCCACAAACCAGGAGGAGGCGCCGGCGTGTCCGTTTAAATCCAGACCTTACAGGAAGTGACCTCAGCGACGCTGGAAGTGGGCTTGATAGTAACCTTGGCAATGATGCTGAAGGTGTGGACAGAGTTTCAGACAGTCCTCCAGATCTCAGTCTCAGTGACCTCTGACCTTAAAGGCCAGTAAATCTATGTGCTGCTATTAGAGGAAATGGAAACCTCGGTCTTACGTTGACGCAAGTAAGTAGGTTTAAAGAGTGTAACGGACAGTTTACTTGTGTCATGAAGGCCCGGACTGTGCTATTTATGCTATAATTGATCAATACGTTCATGTAAAATCAAGACCATGGGCACAGAGGTTTTGCAGTATTTTATGACTGACACACATTACTCACAGAGAGTCTTTATAGGCTTTGCAAGTATTGCACTGACATACTCTGAGGTATCAGCTACCAATGTAAGTTGCAAAACAGCTTTTGCAATAATGCAAAAAGAGTGTTTTCAGTATGAACATGCAACACGTAACATCCATTTAGTCAAAAACAGTTTGACTCTGGCTTGTGTACATGTTGTAAATGTATTTGCAGGCAGTATTTGGAGCATGTTTGTCACAGTAAGACCAGAAATATGTATTAAGAAAGTAAATAGTCAGTTTTTATTTCATGTTGACTTCAGATTTTTTTGAAGAAAAAAAAATAAATAAATAAAAAAAGTCACCTTTTTACCACTTAAAATAAGTCTCAATAATTGTAGCATCTCATAACATGCGTGCCCAGTGTTGTGAGCCAAATTTCAAAAAGTGACAATTTAGTGCATTTTAAAGACTTTTATTAATTAAAAAAGAACATTGTGTAATAAGAAACACTTTAAATGCACTCTCACAAGTTATTACACGAAGTAAACATCACGCATCCATCAGTCATCACACCACAAGGATGAAAATACTGTATTATTGACTTTTATCAATCAATAAAATGTTAAATGTTGAGTCTATAGCTACATTTTGTTCATTTTTCGCAGTTTTTATAAAACATTTTAGGCACAAGAAAAGCATAAAAATTAAGTAAATAGTCAGTTTTTATTTCATGTTGACTTCAGATTTTTTTGAAGAAAAAAAAATAAATAAATAAAAAAAGTCACCTTTTTACCACTTAAAATAAGTCTCAATAATTGTAGCATCTCATAACATGCGTGCCCAGTGTTGTGAGCCAAATTTCAAAAAGTGACAATTTAGTGCATTTTAAAGACTTTTATTAATTACAAAAGAACATTGAGTAATAAGAAACACTTTAAATGCACTCTCACAAGTTATTACACGAAGTAAACATCACGCATCCATCAGCCATCACACCACAAGGATGAAAATACTGTATTATTGACTGTTTTATCAATCAATAAAATGTTAAATGTTGAGTCTATAGCTACATTTTGTTCATTTTTCGCAGTTTTTATAAAACATTTTAGGCACAAGAAAAGCATTAAAATTATGTCTATTTATTAACTAAAGGTCTGTTTTTTACCATCTTTGTCAAAGTGCACACAAATGGATTTTTTTCTTAAAACATTAGGTTGAAAAACAGTTGAATTTTGCAACATCATGAGCCAAGAGCCAGTTGCTTTTTCAGCGCTGTTGTTTTGTCTATTTGATGACATTCCAAATGATGTAAACAATTCCACATTTTCACTTGAAGTGAATTGAACGTCTGTATGGCTGACAAAAATGGTATTTCTCACGGGTGGAAACATCCTTGGGAACTAAGCAGAGAAAGAAGTGAAATGAACATTGGGAAATCATTACTGATGCTGTTTGTGCAGTATCAAAGGAATTTTCCAGATTTAATACAGGTTAAACTGTATAATTCTGTCTCCAAATTTGTAAAAACAAGCAAAAAGTAGTTTACAGTAATGCACTTGGGAAGACTCTCCTTGTGTGTGTCGTGCAAAAGTTACAGGGTTTAGCAGCTTTACAAGAGTTAGAAAACTGAATGTAACTTCACACAGACAAGGTTAGTAGACTATTATATACTAGTGCCATGTAAGTCATGTGGCTGTACTGTTGAAAACGAAATGCATTTTATTGTTTATTCTGGTACCACAGAAGTGCATTACTGTAAACATTATTGTTGCTGACTTGAGAGATTAAAATTATTTTGTGTGATGATCGAAAACTTCTACTGAACGTTGAGCATTTCCTTCAAAGAGTAGTTCTCCCAAAAGTTTTAATTTGCTGAAAATTTACTCGCCCTCTGGCCATCTAAGATGTAGATTTGTTTGTTTCTTCATTGGAACAGATTTGTAGAAATGCAGCATTTCATCACTTGCTCACCAATGGATGCTCTGCAGTGAATGGGTGCCGTCAGAATGAGACTCCAAACAGCTGATAAAAACATCACAATAATCCACACCACTCCAGTCCATCAGTTAACATCTTGTGAAGCCAAAAACTGCATGTTTTTAAGAAACAAATCCAGGTTGTATAAAAGTGTTTAAACTTGCTTCAGGTCATATTAGGAGTCCATAATCCATAATAATGTTTCCTCCAGTAAAAAAAGTCCATCCTCTTGTCCTCTCAAAATCCACCAACATATTTATTTAAATCTGTTTTGGACTGTTTTTACTTGTAAAAGGTGCTTGATCTGAGCAGATTTCTCTCCTGATTCAGACGAGATGACTTTCACACTGGAGAATGTGGAAGCATTATTATAGATAGAGGACTCTTATTTTAGCCAGAAGCAACATGTAAACAAATCTTAATGATGGATTTGTTTCTTAAAAACATGCAGCTTTTCTCTTCATAAGATGTTAACTGATGGACTGGAGTGGTGTGGATTATTGTGATGTTTTTATCAGCTGTTTGGACTCTCATTCTGACGGCACTCATTCACTGCAGAGCATCCATTGGTGAGCAAGTGATGGAATGCTAGATTTCTTCAAATCTGTTCCCATGAAAAAAACAAACTCATCTACACCTTGGGTGGCCTGAGGGTGAGTAGATTTTTCAGCACATTTTCTCTTTAGAGTGAATTATTCTTTTAACAAATAACAAGAAGCTGATCAGAAAAAACAAAGCAGCAGGTTAATTCTAGAATTAGACCATGTAACACAAACACACACACAGCTGAAGCAGATCCAGAGACGACACGACTATCAGAGAAACAAATGAACACATACAGCCAAAAACAGCTCCCAAATATCCCCGCAGCACACAACCCTTCCCAAACCCCACATAAAGTGCAAGAAAACAACCCAACGAACAGAAACTGACGGCCACGGTGAATTTAACAACTAAAATGGAGTATGACGCTACATTTAGTCCTGTAACAGAAACAACAGGAGTGTTTGTGCCTCTGAAGCTCATTTAATTGTGCCTGTGTTGTGTTGATCAGAGGATGTTGGGCACTCTGAAGATGTCTGAGGAACATCTGGGTTTTCAGTAGCTGTACATGGAAAGAGGCGCGTCCTCCAGCATATCATCCTGAAACACACACACGTCACTGAGCTGTTTGCAGGAAACACTGTCATCTGTGAGCGACACTGTATGTGCATCAATGCCTAATTACTGATACATACAGATACATACAGGTTTAGTGTAAATATATATTTTTTTAATGTGTTTAATTTATCACTATTAAGCTTTAGTGAGTTACATAGACTTAAAAAAAAATATTTTTTATTGTTAAAATACCAATGTGTCAAAATAAAATGTCACATTTACCCCCGAATATATGTATAAATTATATACTCTATATATTAGATCATATTTAAGGGAGTGATATAACAGTATCATAGTTTTATGCGAGCAGCTATTGGTAGCCAGTGCAAATTGATGAACAGACGTGTGATGTGCATTCTTTTTGGCTCATTATAAATTAATCCTGCTGCCGCGTTCTGGATTAATTGTAAAGGTTTGATAGAACTGGTTGGAAGACCTGCCAAGAGAGCATTGCAATAGTCCAGCCTGGACAGAACAAGAGCTTGAACAAGGAGTTGTGAAGCATGTTCTGAAAGAAAGGGCCTGATCTTCTTGATATTGGACAAAGCAAATCTGCAGGACCGGACAGTTTTAGCAATGTGGTCTGAGAAAGTAAGCTGATCATCAATCATAACAGGTTTCTGACTGTTTTTGAAGAAAGGAGTTATGGTTGATGAGCCTAACTGGATAGTGAAATTTTGATAAAGTGATGGGTTTGTTGAAACCACAAGCAGTTCTGTCTTAGCCAGGTTGAGTTGAA